GATCAGGGAGATCAGGGATGACTGACACACTAATCAAAATTAACTAATCAGCTTTTCCCCAGTCCGTCTCCAATACCTTGATCATTATATTTCATTGGTTGTCTTGTTTAGATCCATATACATCTCTATATGTTTATATTTCCCACTGAATCAGTGTTTGTACTTTTTCTGTCCAGGACCTTGTATCTACAGTTATTCGACTACTTGAAAGTCCTTCTACTGTAATTAGAGCAAAAGCTTTTTTGGTGTTACTGCAAATTTTAACTAATAATAAAGAGATGCTACTCCTGAGTTGCCAAGCAAGGTACAAGATTCATAAATATTTTAATTTAACATAAAAATATTCAAAACTTTTTACTGTGGATTGTTTCATATTAATGTATATTTGTTACATTCCGTTGCTGAGGCAATGCTGAATGATCTGATAAATTACTATCACAATTATCAAGTGTGAGTTCTCTGGTTGCATTTATTAAATGCTCTGTACAGCTCTGTAAACTTTTACAGATCTATATTATTATACTACTTTTAGTAAATAAGTAATTGAAACATGACTTTGTGATACAGATTATTGTGATGTTTCAGGAATTCCTACATGAGCAGACCAAGGAAAACTGGAATTTGCAGTTCTGCACACTGCTAAGGGATTGGTTAATTAAAAATCAGCCAGAGTTGCTAAGCTGCATTTATTTGTCCTTGTGAAAATTCTTTTTTTTTTTAAAGTTTTATTGATTTTCTAATTTTACATTTAAGTATTTAAAAAGCAACATGGCGGCTGGGTTAACTGATAATTCAATAATATACAAGTATCTTTAATAGAAATCTAAAAGTACCACATTAAATATTTCCTCTCTTTTCCCCTTAGCATTTACTATCTCATTTAAACTAATACAATTCTTATTATATCTGCTGAATAAAAATAACATTCTTACAGTTATCAATAATTTTTAGCTTATACATGTCCTAGTTTTTTTAACATTCAGTCTTTATAGACAATCAATGTCCTAATTAGTTTTCCCAATTTTGAATTTCCCGTTAATATTTGAATTTGACATTTATTGGTTATAATTTCCAGATTTTGAATAACCAAAATTCCCATTATCAAATTCATCACAAAGTCTAATATTTAGGATACACATCTTATCTATTCAAACATATTCTATTTCTCACCATCTTACATCATCTTATTAGTAATACAGTATAACATTCTTATTTTCTACTAGCTGTACCTGGCCACGCGTTGCTGTGGCTCAGTCTGGTTAAATGGAAAAGAAAGAAAAGAGAAAGCGCATGTTTGTAATATGTTTAATTTCACAATGCTTGTGGGTATGCTTTTAAGTTGGATTCAGAACAGCTTCTAATTGACAAGATAATTTTGGAAAAAAATGTAAGAGAAGGAAGACCACGTTGAATGTATTGGATTGATTACAAGAATGCATTTGATTCCTTGTCACAGGATGGAATAATCAAGTTCCTAGAAATAAAAGAAGTAGGTAGCAATATCAGAAGCTTTGTGCAAAGATCAATACCATCGCAGTAGACACAATTGCTGGTCAATTGTGATAGATTAGGAGAGGTTAACATCAATAGAAGAATCTTTCAAGAAGACTCATAGAAATTGTATGGAGAAACACCATCTCAAATGGAATTGCTGCTCAACATTGCCATAGATATATCCAAGATATTGCAATAGAGTTTGAACTAGACAAAACATAGAATCACAGGGTGAAAGGATCTTGGAGGTCTTCTAATACAGGGCTTTTCAACCTTTTCAGAGATTGTACCACTTTTAGGATATGGCAATATTCGAGTACCACCAGTCGCCTAGCAGATGAGCGTGGCCTGCTCGATGCCACTCACTGGACACAGCTGACTCAAGACAGCTGGATCGGAATGGAACAAGTCGCACCAGCTAACTCGATGGGGGACAACTCAGTGCCCACAAACTCCTTGCCTCCCCAAACTGCTAGCAGCCAAGCACATGAGTGTGCATGCACACACACACACACACACACCACATTCCAGGTTTGGGGATTTTTATCCACAGAGCAGGAGAGGGCCTTCTTTCCAAAGCCAGGCATGATTGGCAATTTGCTAGCTCAGATGTGGATACAAGTCTCCAAACTTGGAATCTTTGTATGTGTGTCTGAGTGTGTGTGTGTGTAGCATGCTAAAGAGCTGTTATTTTCCCAATCCCAGACATCGTTGGTGTTTCCCTGTCTGGTGCCCCCTCCCAACAAAGCAGGAGGTGGAGGACGTTTGCAGGAAGCAGTTTCCTCCGAGTCCTGTCTTGACAGATCTCTGGAGAGCAAGAGGAGGCGGCAGGGGAGCAGCGCTCCCAGGTCTGCACAGGGGAGGCTGACCCTTCTCGAAAGGGAATTCTATTTCCAATTGTGCGTGGTAAGGATGCTGGCTTGTTAGGGCAGCCTTCCCTCACACAGTTCCCCTGCCACCCCCTCCTCCTCTCCAGAGATCTGCAGGGGAGGCAGAGATCTGGAGGGCAAGGTGCAGCCTCCATATTGGCCACTTTTATCTCTCCAAGCCCTCCTCGATTAAACATACATTATATATAAATTAAAACACAGCCAGAAAGAAAACATAGTTAAATCATTAATTACAGCTCTTTACATATTTTCTGGAAAAACCGCCTTTATTGATGTTAGGAAGGAAGAGCAAACCTTATTAAGGAACTCTTAACAAGAAGGGAATTGAAGACCCCAAAAGGTCTCGTTCTTTCTAATCTGCCTTCCCTTTGAGTCTTTAGTTCTCATTATTTTATTATTATGTGTTTAAGAAGAAGATCAAAGGCCTCCGTAGCTCAGGATACTCACCTTAAAATCAGAACCCAGAAAAATTTAGTTAATCCACAATACCGCCCTATGAAGAATGAAGATAATCTTTGGGCCCTGAGAACATGCAGGTGTCAAGTCAGAATATTAGTGGCACACTTGTCAGCAACTGAAAGTGCATAAATTCATGTACTTTCCTGTCTCACAATTCAATCTATAACATCCTTTAATTTTCAGGCACATCTTTTTCTCATAAACTTAAAAAACCAACAAAGTAATTATCAGGAAAAATAAATCTAGCACTCCTGAATTCTTTCCCCAAGGGGGAAAGGAAAGTTTACAGCCTGCAAGTTGCTAGCAAAGTCATCAAAGAACATAGTTATTGCTGCTAAAGAAAAGAATAAACAGCAAATCAATTTTGCAGCTCTCTCCTGTGACTACATCCTCTTACCTCCAGAATGTGGCCTGGGATTACACAAGGGGCTAGGCAAAAATCCAATTGAGTAGTTTGCAGCCAGGTGTTCAGTACAGACCTTGCCAATATGATTTTATAGCCCAGGAAGGGATAGGAAAAACTAAGGAAAACTTTGCAATCAATAAATCATGGTGGACTTCGCTTGTTTTGCCCTATTTTGATTCTCCTCCCCAGTAACAGCCCATCGATTTTAGAACTGCATGGCCATAAAGATAGAGGCCTTCAGCCTCCCAATCCCTGCTTAGAGAGGGATTTGCATTTCGGCGAAAGTCAGGCCATATCCCCCCAATCAAAGGAAAACCCGGAATCCAGCGGGCCAGAAGGCAATCCAGCCACTGCGCCCCTCCGGTTAGCCTCTTACAAGATCTGATGGAGCAACTTATAGTGTCATATTTCCTCTGCTTCGTTGTTATGGAATTGCTTATCCAGTAACAGGTTTCTATATTTAATGTTAATGCAGTTGCCACCATAGGACGAAACTGTAGATAATATGTTGAAAACTGGACTTCATATGGAAGCAAAATGGTGTAATTCCACATTACTAAATAACCAACTGCTGTTTATGGTCTAAGTGGCTATTATCACTACTTGAATAATTACCTCTGGTTTAACTGTTACAGAATTAAGATTCTGGTTATTCAGAATTACCTCCAAAACAACTGATCCGAAAATTGGTTTCTTAACCAGGTGTAAATATTATATAAAGTTAGTTTCAATCATCTTTTGGAGAAATGTCAGGATTTTTTTTGTCTATTTTTTGAAAGCAGATTGGTGATGTATATAGAAAGGGACAGCCAAAAAGCTACACCAGGAAAAGAGCAACAAAGCAGCAACGAATACTTGTCAGGATGCCTGGATCTTCTCATCTTTCACATTGTGCAAGAGCTGCCATTACTGCTAGGTAAATTCTGTTGCTTTATTGTTAATTAACTTCTCCTTTTGTTTTTCATTTTTTTCCTGTAAACTATTTTACAACAATACCTGGAAAATCTTTCAGTACTGTCCACTGACAATGAACTGCAAATATTCCCCATGTCTCATCTTTTAAAACAAAGCTGAAAGTGCAAGTGCAAAATGATGTGCATTGAGGCTAAATATCCTAACTATTCATACAGACCAATAGGATCAGAGAATCTTAGAATAATGTTAAACAGTTTGATAAAGATTTTGACAAACTGAGTATGTACCATTAAGAAAAGCCAACAGCATGTTAGGAGTAATAAGTGTTATTAAAAATACAGATCATAATGCTTTTATGGTTTGACTGTATCTAATATATCGAATGCAGTTCGGGTCACCACACTTCATAAAGGATATGGTACAGAGGAATGCTACCAAGATAATCAAGTTTCTGAAACAGCTTCCATATGAGGAAAGGTTGCAACATCTGGGGTTTTTTTTAATGTAGAAAGTAGGCAAATGAAAGAATATTTGATTTGGGTGTAGAAAATTATGCATGGTATGATAAGGTGGACAAGGAAAAGGTGTTTTTTTTCTAAAATATTAGAACCAGAAATCACCCAGTGAAATTAAATCCTGAAAGAATCAAGACAGACAAAAGGTAATATGTTTCAACAGAACATGTAATTAAAATTTGAAATTAGCTATCATGAGATGTTGTCAGAATCCAGTTACATTTCCTTTCTATCTATCTCCTCTGATCTAAAACCAATTCTCACCCTTCCCTGGATTCTGCCATACTCCCAAGGGGGAGAAGGGAATATGCATGCGGGTTTATTGCTTTCACTTCCTCTATCCACTACAAAGTAACCTTTTGTTTATTCGCTTTCGTGTCTGCTAACTATTACAATGTAACAAATTGCCTCCTATACTTTGCACCCCTCTGAACTTCTCCCTACCGGGCAGCTAGGAAAAAAGGAAGGGGAAGAGATACAAACCTCCAGGACCTGGTTTATTTCTCCGTCCCCAAAATGAGGTGTGAAGAGCTGTGGTATGATCGTGCACAAATGGAGCCGGACTGATGTTATCTTTCCTTTCCCACCGATGAATTTAACATCTGGGAATTTGCCGGTCTGAACTGCCTGGACGAACTGTGGGGTGAGGTTTTCTTAGGGACACTTTAAAATATCGATCTGTAAGGGAATCCCTCAGATCCTGTCTATTATGCCTGCTATCAACTACTCTTAATAAAAGTTCCTGTTGGAAGAAATTGTTTCCAAGTGTTCTGCTTTCTTAAGATATGGGTTGAAGTGGGTCCTTACATTAGACAGGATCTGCAGTAATAGTCAACCTGGAAGGAAGAATCTTACCGGGGGACTTTGCAAAAATTACAATGCAGGCAGGAAAGAAAGAAAACCCCGCGGAAAGGGAGGCTTCCCTCCGACCGAGATTCTGCCAGCTGTCGGGATCCGAAATGCCATACTCCTCAGGAGAAGAGGTGGTGGAGATGTGCAACCACAAACCTCGATGGTCAATGGGTGTTGGAAAGAAAGGCGAATGGGAAAACAGATCAAGAAAGGTGACCCTGAGACGGGGCAGCCACCAACCAGAATGGAAGCAGGAGATGGAGAAATCCCTGCACGTTAGCGAAGAGGAAGAAAGTTGTGCACAACATTCGAACTGGATCCTAGAGAAAGCTATTGACCTGATGAAAAGAACCCTCGGCTCTCTAGGGGAGAAGAAATCTGAGCCCCGCGGCCACACCAGCACCTGGAGCTGCAGCTGGAGAGACACTGAGGGGAATCGGAACCTGTAGTCCCGGGGACATCTGCTGAACCAGCAGCTACCACTTCAGCAGCTACCACTCCCTGCCGACCTGCAGATGGCGATCAGGTTGGAAAACAATACCGCCGATGGCGAAGGCACCGATCCATTCAAAGATTCCCGCTGCTGGACGCGAAATTCAAGGGAGAGCTGCCACGCTTGGGGTTTTTCCTAACCCAAGTCCTCAGCTACACGGAAGAATACGGGCAGGACATCCCCAGCAACAAAGCCCGTATCCGTATCGTGCAATCCGCTCTGAATGGACCGGCCGCAGATTGGGTGGTGAATTGATTCCAACATCCCAGAGCTCAACGACTTCAACTGTTTCATGTCCTCTCTGAGAAGGCGATTCGAGGACCCCCTGGCTGATCGCAAAGCCCGTGAAAGAATCAAAACAGTGAGGCAGGGCAGACGCTCGGTAGCCGAATATACACAAGAATTCCGGACCACTGCCAGCAAGCTGAACTGGCTGGAAGACATCCTTAGCCATTTCAAAGATGGCCTAAATTACGACCTGTATGATGCTTGCCTGCCTCAGGGGGATCCACACCAACTCGATGAATGGTAAGTCCTGGCAGAGGAAGCAGACCTTGATCTACTGAAGAGACACTGCCGAGGAAAATGATGGGGCCGCTTGCCGCCTGAGCCGACGCGCGAGCCAGCGAAACCACCAGTTACGGCCAAGAAGTCAACGGGCTGCTTCAAATGCAGAAGAGAGGGGCATTGGGCTGTAGAATGCCGCTCGAAAGCCCATCAGCACAACCCAGACCGATACCGGCCAGGAAATCCGGGAAGTCCCCAGCCAAGCCAAAAGAACCCACCATGAGAGCGATAGAGGCTGTGGAGTCCCCAAACCCTGCCCAACATGGGGAGGAAACTCCAGCCTACACTGCAGGGCCGGCGGACACCTCAGAAGACAGCTCAGAGGGTGAACCCCTGGTAAGTGAAGCCATTGCACCCCTCCTCAAGACAGTGACTATATTAGCTCCCTCCATGCCCAAAGCTGTCAAAGTGAAAGCCTTAATAGACTCTGGCTGCATCCGCTGCCTCATTAGCCCAACGCTAATGGGGAACTTGGGCATTCCGGTGAGGAGGCTGAAACAATCAATCTCATTTGGCCAGTTAGATGGGTCCATAGCAGGGGGGGGGTGCCAGCTACCCTAGCCACTTTATCAGTCCGCCTATCCCTGGGAAACTATGAGGAAGACATAATGTTTGTAGTGATCCCAGGCATTGAGTGCCCAGTGATCCTAGGGCTGGAATGGTTAAAGAAATGGAACCCCTGGGTAAATTGGAGGACGGCAGAAATCAATTTCCCAAAGGGGACCCTACGGACTTAAAACCCCAAGGAGTCCTACCAAATTTAAGAATGGAGAAAGCATCAATGGGAAAAGAAGAGGGGCTACCCAAAATACCAGAGGAATACCGAGACCTTGCTGAAGTTTTCAGTGAGGATAGGGCGGATGAGCTTCCCCCTCACTAACCCACGGATTGTGCCATAGAATTCAAGCCCGGGGCAAAACTCCAGAAGCCCAGACTCTATGAGTCCTAAGGAGAAGGAGGAAATGGAAAGATTCATAAATAAAAACCTAGAAGGGTTATCGAACCTGCCAAGCCTAAAGTAGCCGCCCTGGTCCTCTTTAGAGAGAAGAAGGACAGCATTTTACGCTTGTGCCTGGATTACCGCACCCTGAATGCAATCAGTAAAAGCAACCTACCCCTCATGAATGACATGTTATCCCACCTCTCGAAAGGAAGAATTTTCACTAAACTAGATCTAAGGGGAGCGTATTAAGCGCATTAGAATTAAGGAAGGGGATGAATGGAAAACCGCATTTAATTGCCCAATGGGGTGCTACCAATTCAAAGTTTTGCCGTTTGGACTACAAGAGGCCCCTGCAGTATTTATGCAATTAATCAATGAGGTACTAAGGGAGCACCTATTTAAGGGGTTCCTGATTTATTTAGAAAACATCCTTATCTTCACCGAATACAAAGAGGATCATGTACTATAATTGTGCAAAGCATTTTGAGGTGCAATTCATAAATCATGAGTCATGAGCAAAGAACCTCCCAACACTCAACATTATTATGATGGTATGGTACAATCTATTTTCTAGATTGTCTCTGGATACATAACTATATCACTTAGAGATCAGTCCCCCTAAAGCAGAGGTCCCCTACTTTTTTGGCACCAGGGACCGGTTTCATGGAAGACAATTTTTCCATGAACTGAGGGGAGGGGGGGTTTCAGGATGATTAGGTAGGGATGATTTTAGAAGCAATTTTAATTGGAAACACAGCCGTCAATATTTGGTTTTTAATTCGGTTTTTATTGGGGTTTATATTGTTGTATTTTTGTATTTTTTGTATTTGTGTATAGTATCTGTTTTTTAAATATGCTGTGAACCGCCCTGAGTCCTATGGGAGAAGGGCGGTATATAAATTAAATTTGAAT